AAACATATTTAAATGAAGTAAAATGCTAATCATTTCAGCCACATAAGTACCAAAAAAATAGATTATAGATTATTTTAGAAGAAGTCGTAAAGGTTTCTGGAGCCTATTTTGTGAGGAAAGCTGATTTGTCATTTTACCTATCAGACTGGCCACTTTGCATTTTTGAGAATGTAATATTTCTTGGCACTTAATCATTTGAATGAATTCAGACAATTCCTTTTGCTACACAAACGTATATGTGCCTTCATATAAAAAGAGCACTTAAAAATCAATTAGGAAAAAAAATCACTGAAATTTCAATAGAAAAATAAGGAACATGAATCAGATATTCTTTATCAGTACTGATCCAGGATATACAGTTTAATACAGGATGCCATTTGTTTCATCAAAGATTGACAGAATAAGTCAGGGCTAGAACTGAGAATAGAAGATAATAAGCTTAGACTGCTGTGGTAATATAAAATGATGTAATCTTTTTATAAAGCATTTTGAAGCTTTTATTAAGAGCTTTAAAAATGGCCATATCCTTTGATTCAAAAATTACATTTCTAATAATAATTAGATGAAGATTTACGTGTAGATGCTCTCAGTTGTGTTATCTATAATCAGACAAAATTGGAAACATCCTAAATGTCCAACTACAAGCAATTGGTTAAATAAATTGCACTCTACATCACAAAATGCCTAGAAGATATCAAAACAGTGATTGAAGTTTTTGTAAGGCATAGTTTTATAGGTAATTTTTCCTTTTCTTCCTTGCTTTTGTATTTCACAAGTTTTCTACTTTGAATATTTGTTATTTTTTAATCAAAAAGAAAATTTTAATGAGTTCAGTTGTACAATTTCTAAGCATCTCCTATGAGCCAAGCTCTGTGGAATAGGCACCAAGAATGGAAACTTGGTCTGTGCCTTTAGCGGCACTCAAATCTGTTTAGAGTAAAGGATGAGTTATCATAGAAATACTGTAAGAAAGAATATTTTCATCTGTGAGAGGAGCAAAGAAAGAATATAAGGAAGGAATAAATACTTGAGATAAGAATAGATAATTCCAAAATCCCAAACCATGACAAAATTTTAAAACAAAAGAATGTTCCTGAAAATTAAAATGAAAAAAAGTTATTGATTCGAATAACATCTGTAAATTAAGACAGCAGTGTGGTTTTTATTGACCTGAGAATATTTCACATGTCAGGAAATCTGATTTCCTGTTTTCTAATCACTCACCTTTTCCTTATTTATTTTTTAAATCACAGTTGCCTAAGTAACATCTTTATATTATTGTATAACATTAATACATTCCCGGAAGTAGACTGTCTTGCTTGCTTAGTAGGAATTACTTTTTTCCTCTCCATTTCTTGTCAGTATACTTTGTTTGCTTTTAATATCGAGATTACTTTTCATTTGCATATTGATATTTATTTGGCCTTTTTAGTTTCATATGAAACTAAGTACTTTTATTCTAAGTAAATTCAGGGTTTGGGAATTACTGAGGAATTTTTCAAAACTATCTTGTTTCTGTTATTGCATCACCTTCTCAGGAGACTGTTTTGGTAAGATATGACATAATTATTTGCCAAATGGGGTTTGTTTGATTCAACTTTCAGCATGGATATTTCGCCAATTAAATACTGTTTCGTTCGTATCATAGCATGGATTGTACATAGCAGTGTAGTTTTCATTTATATACCTCACACCGTAATTACCATGAATTTGTAACCAGCTTTACATGATTATAGCTGTGTAGTGTTATTATCTGTTGATAACTAAAAAGCAGAAGTGGTGTTAAATAGCATCAGTAAGAGATATATTAGGACTTTTGGTATTTCATACACTTCTCTTAGTCTCTGTAGTGAATTCCAACTTGCTTTTCCTGATGCGGTAAATTCCCTTTAATAGAAAATTACAACTTTCTAACACTGTTAAAGTTGCTTCTACTCGATTAGTAGGACTGGCTAACCTCTTTAACAGTTTGATTCCTTGGATTGTTATATGACCCTCTCTATCCAAAAATTGGCAAGTTTGTTTTTAAACAGAATTAAAGACAGTTGGTTTTTCAAAAAAAAAAAAAAAAGAAAGAAAGAAAACTTTGTTTTCTATGTAATTTAAATATCTGTGAAAGCCCTTCTCCCTCTTTTTCCCTCTTACCTAACCTTAGAACATTTAACTGGCTGGGCGTGGTGGCTCACGCCTGTAATCCTAGCACTCTGGGAGGCCGAGGGGGGCGGATTGTTTGAGCTCAGGAGTTCGAAACCAGCCTGAGCAAGAG